GGGTGGTGGTGGGGAAGGTTTTTTTAAGATTTAGTTTTATTTCTCATTATCCTGCTCTGACTTGATTGGTAATAAATTAAATTAATTTTCCCCAAGTCGAGCCTGTTTTGCCCGTGATGGTAATTGCTGAGTGATCTCTCCCTGTCCTAATCTTGACCCATGAGCCTTTCGTTACATTTTCTCTCCCCTGTCCAGCTGAGGAGGGGGAGTGATAGAGCAGCTTTGGTGGGCACCTGGCATCCAGCCAGGGTCAACCCACCACACATGCTATGGCTTGCATATTCCAACAGATAAGTAGTGATTTAGTCAGGGTAGTTTGGGGCATATAATTAATTTCTGATTACAAGGCTGTTTTGTGGTGTGAACAATAGTACGTTTTACTGCAGTAAGGACCTGAAATCTTTTCATAAAAATTTGTATGAAAAAAAATGTAGGGAAAAAGCCCAAACACTAGTTCCCCATTGTTGTTTGGGACAAAAACCAGTAGACAAAAAACAGAAATAAAAAAAAGTCCCGTATGCATTCCAAGATAGGGGAGAACCAAATATAGTTAATGGAACTGCATTCACTTTAAAAAGAAGGCTTCAAAAAACCATCAGTTTCCAAAACATTCAGTTTATGTGTTTACAGTTCAGGAAAACAAGAGCCACCAGGTCTCACTTCTCATCTTGGAGATGAGAATACCCAGCTTCGGGTTACTGTCCCTTGCCCAGTTTGCTTTCCTTAGGTATATTGATAGGACACAAGGCTGTAACAAGCGGCTTCCTTGGGCAACTCTGGGGTGTTCTGACAAAAAAACGTCTGTGGGGGAATCATCTTTTTTCATAGTCCTTTCTCATCATTTTCAAAATTAGACTTTTCAGTTCTTTCATTTTAAAGTACCTTCTCACTTGCAATTATTTGGTATTACACAATGTATTACAATGTGTCTACACACAATTAATACAACGTGCTCTGTATGTAGCATATGGAATACAGCATTTTAGAAGTCTATGCTGAATCAAAAATGAATAATAGATTCATTTATATTGCATTTAACTTTGGTAAGAAGTACAAAAGTTTATTATTCAATATTTCTATTCCACTGATGCTCAGAGACCTGTCAGGATTGAAGTGATGGTTGTACTATACAGAAACGGTCCTTGCCCCTGTAAAACCTAGACGCGTCTTTTGCTTTTCATATATGAAAAGTCTGAAAATGTATCTAAGTAGTAGTGGATAGGTGACCTGAACAGACTTCATCTTAACTGAGCCTTCTGTTTTTCATTTCTCATGGTCTGTTCTGTTATGGGTAAGTTCATTAGATGTGCATTGAGCTATGTGACTGACATCTTCCACAATTAATGCTCATGTATAATTAGATGCAATGCTGACAAGGGCTCTGTTGTTTTCTATAGTTTCACAGAAAAGCCTTTTCCTTCTTTTTTGGCACTGATCCATTAAAACCATTGCACCATGTTCAGCTGGTGACTGGGAATGAAAATAATTTACAGCCATTAAAACATTGCTCCTGTATCATTAGCTCCACCACTTGGATTAATCTGATTTTTACAGATACAGTAGTTCATAGGGGAATCCTTTCTCGAAATGTAAAAAGTCCTGAGGCAGTGCCCTAGTAAAAGCATCTGGCTCAATTACTCTATCCTGAAAGTTTAATGTTCAGTGTTTGACTACCAGCAAAGTTTAATTATGACTTATTTTACTAATAATTTGGGTTACATTGTCCTCTAGTGGCTCATATAGATAACTGCCCTGTTGAGAGAGTCCTTTTGCCTTGTGTTTTTAAATCCTCTCGTACTCTTTTCATACAAGTCCAAGTCACCTCGGAAGAGGACTGATGCAATAGCCAAATAAAAAGTTTGCATCTTACTGCCACTCTATCAGTACAGCAAGATCTGTCCTCTATAACTGCGTATTGTCTGCTTAAGAAACACACATTTAAAATAGTTCAAAATAACAATAGAGAGTTGTGAGAAGATACTGCATTTAATCAGAGCATTTGATGGAAACAAATATATCCTTCTGACTGACAGTACAAAGAATAAACTCAGTATGAATTTTTTTTAATAGGTTGAAGACTAGTTCACTTCCACAAAATACAGAGAGATCTCATATGAAGGAAAACAGAACAGCCCTTCAGCATCTCCTGCGGCTACTCACTTGTAAACCTCGATAACACCAGGCTTTTGCCCTGTAATGTGGCAGTACCACCTTTCATAGGAAGCAGTGAAAGCACTAGAACGCTTTGCAGCTGGATGTTTGCCAGCATAACGCAGATGTTCGCAAAGAGGAGAAGGGATGTGGGAGCATGGAGAATAATGCCAGGGTGTTTGCAGTGACAAAACGCACATTTTACGTTACTTTGAAAAGGTGATACCATATTCTCTAGCGTGCTGAGTTTATGTCGCCCCTATGGCAGAGCAGTAGGCTTGCTTCCAGCGGAGGCCTTGGCCCTGGTCACGGGAAGTACGGCAGGCACGGCTGGTGGGCTGCTCCGACTGGCGAGTCTTCCCTTTTCATACTGTTTCTTCCTTGACCAAATGCCACGAGTAATGACGAATAGAAGTTGCTCTGCAGAGATAGTTTCTCTATGTGTAAGAAGAGGAGGAGCGCTATAAATGGTTCTGTTTATACCTCCAAGATTATGTAGGAGAAGCAGCAGTTACAAGTGTCAAAGAGTGTGGTTTCTGTCTTTTTAAAGAAATGGTGGTGCACTCCAGCAAGATGATAGCTCATGTTTTCTGTTGCTGTTTGCAATAATAGGAAAGACAAAGGAGTACTCTGACCTTACAGAGTTGATTTCCGAGGCTTTTTCGAAGTAGCGTGCCTTGTACTCTATCAGGGAAATAATATCAGGATTCAGTAAAAATTCTTTTCTCAGGTCCTCGATCTCTGGCCACCTTTTTTCTCCCTCCCTTTTTGGAGAGGCCTTCCTTTCAACCAGCAGTGTGACAGTGTGCATTGCATGGATGTCATTCCATGGTTGCTATTCATTCCCTGGGCTGATCATCCTCCAAACACCAGGAGAGTTGCAGAGTAGCTTAATTATACTTTTCACAGCGGGGTCGTGCATTTGGTGTTATCCACGTACTGCCTCAAACTTGCACGTATACCCACACCTAGCAAGCGTCAATAACCGCCACAGCTGAGAACGTGCTGACAGAAACAAAACGTATAAAGGCAGCCTTGAGGTATAAAATGCCTTCACCTCATGAAATCATCTGTGGTGCCATTCTTACAGTTCACTCAGAGGTTTATTAGGTAGTGATGGATGCAGGAATACTTGCAGGGACTTACTTTTATCTAGTGCTCTGTGGCTCTTCTGCCACTGGGGATCTTTTAAACCAAAGGCAATGCTGACAGAAACAAAATGTATAAAGGCAGCCTTGAGGTATAAAATGCCTTCACCTCATGAAATCATCTGTGGTGCCATTCTTACAGTTCACTCAGAGGTTTATTAGGCAGTGATGGATGCAGGAATACTTGCAGGGACTTACTTTTATCTAGTGCTCTGTGGCTCTTCTGCCACTGGGGATCTTTTAAACCAAAGGCATGCCTTTGGTTAAGAAATCACATAGGAGCTTTATTTCTTCTTATTTATCCGCCAGGAGGCGGAAGGTCATGGTTTTTATTTTTCTTTAACAAAAAGGCTTCATTTTAAAAAGTGCTTTTGTAACTCTTGCATCAACATATTTTTTGTCATGCTTTGCAATGTTATTTTCCAGGGGTTTATAATTGTTTATTTAACCTAGGTGCTAAGCAAAGTTCTGTTTTATCCTCAATTCATAACACAGGGTTTTATCCTTTATGTACCAAAGGGTGAGTTGTACAGATTGATCTATTTGGAGCTTGCTGACTACAGTTTCTGCTGTAATGATTTTTTAAACATTTGGCTTTTCCAGGTAGCTATCAGGCCAGTGGTTGCCCTCCCTCCACACTGGAATCTTTTACAGAAACTCATTACTGCTTCCCAGGCGTGCTTCTTCTGACACCCCAGCAGCGAGGGGGCTCTGCCCCATCATTAAAGTCACAGTAGTGCTTCCCTCCACCCGCTGCTGCGGCAATGCTCAGGTTCCTCCTGCAGGCAAGGAGAAGATGTGACCGATTACGCCTATTCCTATTAATCAGGAAAATGCAGGCTTCTCTTCAAAGTAGAGGGGGAGGTTGCTCCTACCAACCGTGTCGGTCACTGTTCTCTTCCAGCTGTGTGTTAACTCTATCTTCCCATAGTGCATTTTACATCAGGGTTATGTCAGCAGAGTCTTTCCAGAATAACCTAACCCTTGATGTCAAACTCAGTCAGAGCTGGAATCCAATGGAAGCAATTTTTGATGGAACTGACCCCTCGTGACCTCTCTCATAAGGCTGTCTGGGAACCGTGTATGCTAATGGGAAAAATAAAGTGGTGACCTTGTGTATTCTCAGACTCACAGGGTGTAATCCTGCTCAGCATAGCAATGCATTTGTCAGGTTTTTGACGAGCGCTTTACAGCCGTCTGCCTGGCAGGTGCCCCCTGCCTACCTGTGTAGGGGCCTCTATCTGCCTCTCTAATGCCTGCAGATGCAAACGTGTGAGTGCACCTTGCTCAGTAACAGATGTCTTTACAGAACAGACGCCGTTACTCCTTGCTTTTCTGTATGAATGTAGAAAGCATCCTTTGGTGGAAAACAGGTGGTAATTTTATTTAAATCCAACTGTATCGTAGAGCAATAAAACTAATGAGATGATAAAGCCTTGCCAGGTTTTCCATTTTGATAAGCATCTAATCTTGAAACTGTTTTAATCAAGCTTCCTTATCAGATGTTCTCATTTCTGTGTTGCCAGCACGCACCTGAAATTACCGCTTGGCCTCAGATTAAAAGGTGATGCTGTTTTGATTTGTACTGTTAAATCATTTCTGTTTGAGGATTAATTTTTTGTTTGGCCTTTCCTAAAGGCAATGTTCATCATTAAAATGGCTGTGCATGAATGGTAATGTACTTGCATTTTCTCTCACCAGAACAACGAAATGGTGGAACTACAGAGGGTACGAATGAAAGATGAAATTCGAGAGTACAAGTTTCGAGAGGCGAGACTCCTACAGGACTACACGGAGCTTGAAGAAGAAAACATCACTTTACAGAAACTGGTGTCCACACTGAAACAGAATCAAGTAAGCATCAAAAGATTCAAGGCGCTATGCTGAAAAATGACAACATTTTCTCCAATTTCCATAATATGATCCCGCAGAACGCTTTGATGGAAGTTTCCTTGTATGTTTTTTTCAGTTGGGTTTTTGCTAAACACTTATTCTGAAACAGTGTTATTGGCCATTTTTGACCTATGGGGAGGCCCTTACCTCAGTTTTAGGAAAATCCTGGTGAAATATTTCATTGCAGAACTTTGTAATAGCAGAGGAATTCTTAAAATAGATAGAATCTCATCTTTTTGCTTCCTGCTTTTCCTATCCTCCCTCCCTGCACGCTGAACTCGGTGCCCAGCGGCAGAGTTCGGCCCTCCGTTTCCTCTCAGTTGGTTTCCTGCACGTCCTTTCCTCTTCTGAAGTGGAGAAAAGAGGCAATAATCTTCCCCCGTTCTCCTTTTTTTTCCTGCTCCTTGGGTTTTCCTGTGCTGGTGTTGCTCTCTTCTCAGCCATGCTAACCTGCAAGTTTAGCAAGCTTCAAAAATAGGCAAAAGGGACATTAGATGTTCCTAGTTTGTCTTTTGTTTTCCTCATTACAGCAATTTGCAGCTGATGGCAAACCAACACACTGTAATTCTCGCTGCAGTGCAGATCGCATCCCGAGAAGCCACCGTAAACAACAGCCCCATTGCATCCAGATGTCAGCAGTCGTGGGGTCTGTTCTCTCCCCCTTACAAACGCACAGCTTCCTTTGCTGCTGTATATACATACCGCTGAGGAAGCAATCAAGAACACGGTTGTCCTTCAAATTGAACAAAAGGGATTTGTTCTCATGTCAGAAGAGCTAACTTGCTGTGATCAGTATTTAAGTATCCAAGTTGGATGATGTAACACTTTCTGCCTTTTACAGGCTGTCCAGACCAGCATAACATGGCGCTCCGTAACACCATTTCCTTAGCTGCTAACAGGTGGTAACTGCACTGCCTTGCAGCCCCTGGTTTATGTCCTAATCTACTGCCTGGTTCAGTTAGGGCTTTTATCAAATAGCCAAGACTGTCACAGCCTCTAATGGCAACCTGGAAACAAAGCTGCCTTATTCCTGCAGGAATATGCAGTACTATTTCAGCTATCTTTTACTGCTATTTTACCGCTCTAGCCCAAATGCGATTGAAACATTTAAAACAACAGAGCCATGCTGCAGAGAATATGCTGGTAATAGAAACAGGTACATCGTTTCCTTATTTATGAAGATAGCCAGACTTTCACACTCCTGAAACTGAATTTATAGCAGATCATCTTTGTGTCAGAGTTATTTACCAAGCCAGCAAATTCCCCCTTTGAGGCATGGAGTTTTTCCTCGCCAAGCTCATAGGAGGCATTTTCACACTATCAGGAAATTAAAGACCCCTTTATGGACTGTCCTACTTTCCCACAGAAGAAAATCTGTTTGCAAGTGTTTGTATTTGTCATAATATTTCATTCTTAATGAAACCGAATGCCAGCAGTCTGTGGAGAAAAGAAGCATCGCCACATTTAGAATGGCTTTAAAAATCAGTCATTTTGCATCACGTATCCATGTGTTTGTGATTCCTAAATAGCTTTGATCTACAAGATAAAATTTCAAGAGCATTTTATACTTTCATACTTTAATTTACAAAACTGTATGTTACAATTCTTAGTGCTAAACTGTCATTATCTGGGTTGGTGTTTTTTGTAGCCTTTGTAAGCAAGAATCCATGAGATGGTAACCATATAGATAATATAGACCTCTGGTTTTCATGTGGATTTAAAATTTTAAAAGGTTTCTTTAGCCATGTCCTTAAGTTATAAACATAGCTACTTGATGGGATTTAATAATTTTTCTGCTGGACCTCTCTCTCCAGTCAGGAAAGATATCAAGTTCCTAAATGTAGATTTCAAAGTATCATCGATTTTCCTTTTCTATTTATCATTTCCCAATATGACTTTGGAACTTTCTTTTTTGTTTGAAATGTTTCCATTCTCTGGGTTTGAAGATTAGTGCTTTGGTTTTTAAGTTTGCCTTTCCAAAGGCTTATGAGTACAAGACTTTTGACAGGTTGATAAATATTCTACTCCAATAGGAATGGTTGATATTTCTATTTTCACCAAACCTTATTATAGTTTGTTTAAATATATATACGTCAAATAAAAAATATTCTAGACAATGCCTTAAAATTGCAGATAACAATGCATATTAATGCATTTGAATGAGAAAAGCCTCAACTGAAAAAAGCTTTTTTATGGAAGCATCAAAATTCAGTATTTCTTTTCCTCTTTCACCAAACTATTAAATTATTTCACCCGATATTGGGAATTTTTTGCATTTAGCAATGAAAAGGTGGATGAGTAACATGATTAGAATTAAATTAAAAATCAAAGCATGATCATTTTTACCAGGAGAGTTGGTCAAGCATGGACAAGGACCTTTACAAACAAAGCTCTTCCTTTTCATTGCTGTGGGATTTTCCAACAGTGAAAAGGAAGATGAGGAGAGCCAGCAAGGGAAGGCGTTCTGCAGTGGGGATCGGCTGCACCATCTAGATAGAATAGAATCATAGAATCATTGATGTTAGAAAAGACCTCTAAGATCATCGAGTCCAACCGTCAACCCAACACCACCACCCACTAAACCATGTCCCTAAGTGCCTCATCTACTCGTCTTTTAAATACCTCCAGGGATGGGGACTCAACTGCTTCCCTGGGCAGCCTGTTCCAATGTTTAACCACTCGTTCAGTAAAGAAATTTTTCCTCATGTCCAATCTAAACCTCCCCTGGCACAACTTGAGGCCATTTCCTCTCGTCCTATCACTAGTTACTTGGGAGAAGAGACCGACACCCACCTTGCTACAACCTCCTTTCAGGTAGTTGTAGAGAGCGATGAGGTCTCCCCTCAGCCTCCTTTTCTCCAGGCTAAACAACCCCAGTTCCCTCAGCCGCTCCTCATAAGACTTGTTCTCCAGACCCTTCACCAGCTTCGTTGCCCTTCTCTGGACACGATATTGCTAGGCAACTGGTTTTGAGCTAGATTGGGTTTACCTAGGCTTTGCTTCTTGTTAGGTGCAATAGAAAGGACTGAATAAACATGGGAGCTGCCTTTTAAAGAGGAGAGAAGCAGCTGTTTTTTTCCTCAGCCCGTACTGCCAATAAATACCTTGATAAAATACTGCACCTAGGTGTGTGGGGCGGGGAGCCTGCCCTCTGAGAAGGAGGAAGACCAGCGAGTCCCTCCAAGCCTGGCGAGGCTGCACCAGGTCACTGGCAGAAGCCCTTCAGGCAGCGCTGTCAGAGCAACAGGTTGCCAAGTGCTCCAAAATGGCATCCCCAACACACAGTTCAAGGATTGTGTGGCTGGATAAGCTGTTTACTACATTTGTCTAGTAGTTTAAAAATCTCCAACAATTTGGGGCATCCTAGAGTTTAAACTGATTGTATGAATAGTTTGCTGTTTAATTTTTAAAATCAAATGCTTCTTGAATAATGGAGAGGCTTGTATGACACAGAGGAGAGAGTTGAGGCTCTTCTACAGTTTTTGTACTTGAACACTACTAAGACACCAGATACTTTAGAGTACCCGTGCCTGAGTGCCTTTACATCTGGTAAGAATTTAGAGAAGACGACATCTTCAGAATACTTGCAGTTAATAAATCAGACTATATTAACCTGAGATTTGTACATACTATGATATACCAACATTGCTTATGGCAGTTCATAATAAATCTATGGTAACCAGGATATCTGCTACTAAACAGCCTTCCTTCCATGAAATACATTGTTTATTGTCATAAGTTACTCAGAAAAAGGTGTTATATTTCTTGATTCTCACATGCTGAAAAAGTGAGCAGTGGAGTATTTAACAGAGCGAGCTCTACTTGCCTTTTCTGTGCAGACAGTTCTTTGCAGCTGCAGGCAATGTCTGTTATTTCAAACTGTATTTTCTGTAACACCTATTTCAATAAGGCTGATAAATGGCAGGTTTTCATGACTCAAGTTTTAGTATTATGAATGTTCTTTGTCTTGTCTAATTCAGGTTGAATATGAAGGCTTAAAGCATGAGATTAAACGATTTGAGGAGGAGACAGTGTTGCTTAATAGTCAGCTAGAAGATGCCATCCGGCTGAAGGAGATTGCTGAGCATCAACTGGAGGAAGCTCTGGAAACTTTAAAAAATGAAAGAGAGCAAAAGAACAATTTGAGGAAGGAACTCTCCCAGTATATCAACCTCAATGACAGTATGTATAACAACCATATTAATATATCAGTAGATGGATTGAAGTTTGCAGAGGACGGGGGTGAGCCCAACAATGATGACAAAATGAACGGACATATCCACGGGCCTCTCGTGAAACTCAATGGTGACTACCGAACTCCCACGGGTAGGAAAGGAGAATCTCTGCACCCTGTCTCCGACCTCTTCAGTGAGCTCAACATATCAGAAATACAGAAACTGAAGCAGCAACTCATGCAGGTAAGAGCTGAATTTAATGTCCTGAAGTGTTTAGACACGCATCCTGTGGACCCTAGTGCCAGCTTTTGCAACGATTTCCCCCAGTGATGTTCTTGACCACGTATGTCCTGTTCTCAGACTTCTGCTTTGGTGTTTCTTCATATCAGGTTTTGCTAGAAATACCCCTAGTAAACAGAGTATCTGTCTGCAAAAGGTCAGTGCGATCTGAGCAGGTGTTTAGTGCGAAGAGGAGAAAGGGACCTAGTTGCTGTGGTTGCAGATGGTTAGATTTTTTTTTTCCTGCTTCGATAATGGGAAATGTCCCTGAAATTGCAAGTGGAATAAAGTACTCTTCAATAAGACCAAAGCTATCTGGAAAAAACCCCACTAAAATACAGACAGACTTGATTATGCTCCCTTGCAAGTCAGAGGGAGTTTTTGCCATTAAAGTCAGTTTGAACAAGATCTGGCGTACCGTCAAGAGAGAACAAAAGAAGAGGAGCGCTCCTCTTAATAACTGTGCACTCGGAGAGCATGTGGCGTGTGAGATGTCACAGAGTGCCCTTGTCCACCCTGGCAGTCCCGGCGGATGCGCAGGCTGCAGGGGGTGCCTTGGGGACCATACAGCGAGCATTTGTTCTCTGTTCATCCAAGCCCAGCCCAGGCATAACCAGAATAGGAGCCTGGGATGCAAGCCAGATAAAAATTCAAGCTGCCAGCCCCAATGCTGACATCATCTTAGAAGGGGGTACAGTGCCACACAGAGAAAGGGTCCCACTGCCCAAGCTGCTGAGCATCTTCTCTGCCACAAGAGCTTGAAAGGTTTTGGCACCATCAAGGAAACATCCAGTATTTTCTAGCTGCAGGCTTCCAAAAAGTGCTTCTTCTAAAGAGGGTAAACGTAAATCCTTTACGGCATAAAATGTAAAAGGTGATTTGGAAGTAAAGTAGAGCAAACCCAATTTTCAGTGCTTGCTAGAGAACAATAAATCCCTGCGTGGTCTGTCCTTCATTTGCTGAAGAGTTAATTGCTCTATTTATTTCATTGCCAAACGCACCATGGGAAGTTTTGATCTGAGCAAACACTGATTACATCTAGTGCTTTGCACAAATAACTTTGATGCAAGATATACATAATTCAAGTGGAAAAGCTTGAAATTTGGAATTTTGTTTCTGTGAAAAATTATGTCAGAAACTTTTCCAGTATTAAAATGTAAACAGTGTGCGTAGTTTGTGTATATATGCATATCTAAAAATATTCATGTGTATGTACACATACATTTATGTATATAATATATGCACGTATATATTATATGCAGCTTTTGATCTCATTCAGGAATACAATGTTAAAAATTGAAAAAACTACAGCTTCAAAAAAAATGATTTGAAATGTTCATATTTTAAAATACAACGTAAGCATTTTCAACCATCATTTACAATGAAGTTCATGCAATATAAATTTGGAGTAAAAGCTGTTTGGAAATTAAAACCAAGATTGTTTGGGTATGTTTTGTCTTGATTTTATTAAATTAAATATTGAGCTTGATGAATCAACAAACTTCTACTTGAAAGGTACTGCAAATGTTTTGATCATCTCTGACTTAAAAACTTACTTATTTTACATGTCTTAAACAAAGAGTCAGCCTTCTGACAGTCAGTGGCCACAAGCTGCCCATCACAGGACCCTAAAAGGACTCTAGAAAATAAATAACCATTTTTCGGTCACAACAGCTTTGCAGGGCCCCAGCACCCTCACACAAATAGCCGCCCCCATTGCTCAGCATTCTAATCATGTTAAAAGGTTTAAAAAGAAGGACTAGACCCAGCTGGAAACCTGATTTCTTTAGATACTGAGAAGGCTTACTGCAAAATGCTGATGTGTACTTCTTTTTTTAAGTCGTCATCTTCTCTGTTGAGTTGCATCAGCTCACCTTGGGTGACACAAATTAAATGTGAAAAAATCCTCCAAAAACTTTCCTCATAGTAGATGGGAGATTGAATTGGGTTCAAGCTGACAAAAGGTAGTTCTTCAGCAAAACTGGATTTTTTTCTCCTCAGCAGTGTCTTTGCCATGTGGTGTTCATTCAGCAATATCTTAGTATTTGGTATGTGTTCCTCTTGTTTTCTCTGAAGAGGCTGTTCTATGACAGACTGCTGAAGGAACTGACCCTCTCCTGGGAAGTATTTTTATGTCTATAGGACAGCAGGCTCCTTTTTTGAGAGACACAAACTTCAGATTTGCCATTTTGTACGTGTGGCAAATTTTTTCACTCCTCAATCTCAAAAAGAAGCCTTCACCCAAAAAATTAATATGACACATATAATTCTTTCTGCAGGTTTACGATGCTGCCGCATGATTTGTGCTGGTCATTAGAAGAGATTTAATTGCAAGTGTTCCCTTTCCATCTTTTAAATCCACTAAGTAACAAATACCTTGCTGAAAATGCTCGTATTCTGAGATTTTCTTGGAAAAGCTCAAGGCTTTCTGCTCTGCTTTCATGTTTGTTGTCCAGTGGGAAGAATTATCCACCTCATCTTTAAAGCCTAGGACTTCTTTCTTCCTTCCATGGTGATGCTTTCCCTATACCTGAGGCCAACATCATATTTGGAAAACTTAGATTAAGTTCTCTTAAAAAAACAAACAAACAAACCACAAACAATTGGCACAGATTCAAGGTTCTTGAATTGAGTTTTCCTGTTCACTTGTTCCAGGCTCCACCAGGAATTGTTCACTGATATTCTGATGTTATTTTAAAAAAAAAAGAAAAAAAAAGTGATAAATAACAATGGTAAAACTGGTGTGGTGGGTTGACCCTGGCTGGACACCAGGTGCCTACCAAAGCTGCTCTATCACTCCCCCTCCTCAGCTGGACAGGGGAGAGAAAATGTAACGAAAGGCTCATGGGTCAAGATAAGGACAGGGAGAGATCACTCAGCAATTACCATCACGGGCAAAACAGGCTCGACTTGGGGAAAATTAATTTAATTTGTTACCAATCAAGTCAGAGCAGGATAATGAAAAATAAAACTAAATCTTAAAAAAACCTTCCCCCACCACCAGCCCTCCCTTCTTCCTGGGCTCAACTTCACTCCTGAATTCTCTACCTCTTCCCCCCCGCGAGTGTCACAGGGGGACAGGGAATGGGTCTTGCGGTCAGTTCATCACACGTTGTCTCTGCCGCTCCTTCCTCCTGATG